GTAGTCTTCCTACACTCAATAGCGTACGTGTACCTCGATGGCTGGGTATGAATGCAACCGAGCGTACAACACTCTGTGGATTTTGCGATGCCAGTCAGAAGGCTTACGCTGCGGTGGTGTATACGCATACCCTTAAGGCTGATGGCCTTTCGCGGGTATCTCTCCTCACCGCACGGACTAAAGTTGCACCGTTAAGGGGTGCTACAATACCCAGGCTTGAACTGTGTGCAGCACTTTTATTGGCAAAAACGATTTCCGACGCTAGGGTAGCGTTAAAATTAGTAGACTCCACCTTCCACCTCTGGTCGGACTCAACAATTGCCCTCTGCTGGATGCGCAAGCAACCCTCGATCCTCAAACCCTATGTTGCTAACCGGGTCCGCCAAATACAGGAACTCACCGCCATCGATCATTGGCACTACGTACGGTCGGCACAGAATCCGGCTGATTGCGCAAGCCGTGGTTTAACCTCATCAGAGATTTTGGTCCATGATTTATGGTGGGAAGGCCCGGCTTGGTTGCGGGAGAAGCAAACATTGTTTGATCCAGAACCGGTATTAAGGGACGATGAGCGCACCACTGTACAAAGTGAGGAGAAGGTTCAAATATCTACCTTTATTATTTCGCTACCGCTCCAGCTTACGACTCGGCTCTTGGATGGCCGAATTATACCCCTAGCACAACGGTTTAGCTCACTGAAGAAACTCGTTCGGACTACAGCTTTAATTCGGCGTTGGTTACCAAAGCAACGGCCGTTCCGGCAAGGTGTAGTGACAACCCGGAGATGGATGCTGCCTTACAAGCGCTAATACGTATCGATCAATCCACAGCTTTCTCAAAGGATATAAGCTGTTTACGTGAGAGAATAACGCTGCCCAACTCTAGTCCATTGGTACCATTCAATCCCTATTTGGATGATTATGATATCGTTAGAGTCGGCGGCCGCATTAAAAATTCGGCATTGTTAGAAACGCAACGTCACCCGATAATATTGCCGAAGGTAAGCGATTTGGTTGGACTTCTTATACAGGAAGTTCACAGTCAAGCACTCCACGGCGGTGCTCAGTTAATGCTACAGACTCTCCGTTATAGATATTGGATTTTGCATGCACGGCAAGCAGTCAAAAGCTTAATACATAAATGTGTTATTTGTAGAAGGCATCGTGGCATTACCTTCACTCA